GACAATCGCAGCTTCTGCCTAATCGCGATTTATCGCCTTTGCGATTTAATTTCGATTAATTGTGCAGCCCTACATGTCAGTAGTTTAGCTATGTTGACTGAAACAAAAGTAGTAAAAGATCCACAGACCTAAGGAATAGATACTTGAAGGAATGATTTACTAGTCAAGTGTCCATTCTGTAGTGAGAATATAATATTAAAATACCTTTGCAACTTGACCTATTATCCTTTCCCACCAAATTCCTCACCGAGATCTCTGTATGCATTGGGTGGCGCTGTGTAAACATGATGTTGAGTTGGTGAGAGATGTTGATGTGAGCTTTTAGATGCTTCCAACTGTCAGTATTTCAGTTCTTACTGGTATACAGTGGGTATAGAAAAGAATCATCACCCTTTAAAATAATCACATTGTGTTGCTTTGCAGCCTGAAATGCCTGTCCAAGTAACCCCCCAAAAAAAAACAAGACTTTGTAAAAGAGCATAATAGGACCCCTTTGAAGGGGATGGGGGGTGATTCTTTTTACGCACTGTATTTGTTTTGTTTTTTTCAGTCATGCATCCCACAGGATAAAATTCTCCTTCAAGTTTGAAAGTAAATGAGAAACTTCGTGAGAATTGCACTTATCAGATGGTTATCGGTATTCTTGTGCCGGCAGAGTATGTTTTCTCTACAGACGGCATGGTAGGCCGTTGGTTTGAAAAAAGACTGACACTAAAACTGCAGTGGCCTTTATGTAGACACAGAGTGTGTATGTGTGTGTTGCCCTGATGGCAGCAGCGTGCTTTTCTAGAGTAAACTGATTGTACTTGTCTATGTAAACCAAGTGTAAATGTGTTGTTTTCATTAGCGTAGGTTGATACAGTTAGATAATTTTTAAATCATTTTTGATGTAGCATTTGCAAATAAAACATTCATACATGTATTCAGATTTCTAAATATAAATTTCAGGTGAATACTTATTTTTCAACAAATACTTATTTTAATTTCAGTTGTTAATGTGAAATTGTTTTATGTAAGACAGTGGTTCTCAACTTCCAGGGGTTCCCAAAGTCTTCAAATTATTTACATTTATTTTTATTAACAAAATCTTAATCTTAAATAAAACAGTAAGGTTACATTTGTAAACTATATTTAATGCATTAACTAACATCAAATAACAATGAGCAATACATTGTTACAGTATTTTTACAGTCTTTGTTAACGTTAATTAATAAAAATACAATTGTTCATTGTTAGTCCATGTTAGCTCAGGTCCATTAAATAACATTAATAGATATAACATTTGATTTGAATCATGTATTAGTAAATGTTGGAATCAATCAACATTTAACTAAGATTAATAAATGCTTTAGAAGTATTTTTCAATGCTAATTAATTTAGTTATCTACTGTTAACAAATGAAACATTATTGTAAAGTGTTACAAAAAAGAAAAAACTAAAACAGATTAGATATTGAAGGCTTTTGAAAACTGTCTTGGACAAAGGTGTGCCTCGGAACAGTTGAGAACCACTGATTACTTGGAACTGCGCCTTCCTCTCTGATTAACAGGATTTAGAGTAATGTTTTCAGCAGAATGCAGATGTATACAGATACACAGCATCTTAAATGACCTTTGTCAGATGCTCTCACTAATGTTCTAGTTAGTGTTAGTTCTCTAATTTTGATTGTGCAACCAGATTGATGTGGGGTTGTGGGTGTCAAAACAGCTCCATGGAGCCACATGGCAAAAACACTGAAAATAAGTTCTTTATCTGTACTTTCACAGGGCCCAGTCGTTTGCTGAAAGGTTGCGGCTGGGCATCGCTGTGATCCACGGTGAAGCCCAGGACGCTGAATCTGACCTGGTGGATGGACGTCATTCCCCTCCCGCTGTCAAAAACATCGGCGCCATCCATCCAAGCCTAGAGATACCATGTAAGAATCTCATCTCAGAGAGCTCACTCAGTCTGATTTATTGTTTTCCATCCTATTCCCTATTATCTTTTTTTTTTCTTGTACAGTGCTAATTCCCAAAGAAAAACCCCCAATAACTGTGGTCGGAGATGTAGGTGGACGAATTGCCATCATAGTGGTGAGTTCAAGATGATTTGAATGTCTTCAGGACAGTGTTATTTTAGTATCACTGATGTACTAGTATAGTTTTTGTTAATACTTTGAATTAGATTTTATTTTCTTTCTTTTCTTTTTTTTTGTAATTTTGTTGTGTTTGTTCAATTTTTATTATTTTTTTTGTAGTTAGTTACATTTCAGTTATTTTAGTACGTTAGTTTAAACTAAATGAGAAATGTTGCCAACTATATATTTTTACATTTTTATTTTAAGTAAAAAAAAATTTCAAATGTTTTTTTTATGGTTCTAGTTTTAGTTAATAATAGCTTTGTTCAAGGTGCTATTTTAAAATCATCCCTCTTCTAATCCGTTTATTTTATTTTATTTTTTAAAGGATGACATCATTGACGATGTTGACAGTTTTCTAGCAGCAGCCGAAACACTGAAAGAAAGAGGCGCTTACAAGATCTTTGTCATGGCTACACATGGAATCCTCTCCTCAGATGCCCCTCGGCTAATAGAGGAGTCTGCCATAGATGAGGTCATCAAAGCTTCATTTTAATTTGAGGTTCAGAATTATGAGTTTTTTCCACGAGTACTGATTTTGTGATGTCTTTCTATACAGGTGGTTGTCACCAACACCATTCCACACGAGATCCAAAAACTCCAGTGTCCCAAGATCAAGACAGTGGATATCAGCATGATCCTGTCAGAAGCCATTCACCGCATCCACAATGGAGAATCCATGTCTTACCTGTTCCGTAATATTGGCATGGATGACTAACAGGCTCTTGTACAGTCAGTCATATCGTGCGCAGAGGTCAAGACATTTTCTGTCCCTATTGTATCATTACCAGTTTTTCCTTTAACTCCATAACTCCTTCTCCTTGTTGTATGTGTTATATTTTGAAAAAATAACTGCGCTCAAAGAACCAGGATGTTCTGTAATGCTTTGTGAGTTCAGTGCCCTAAAATGCTGATGTTCAGAGGATTGAAGTGCTGGGATACTCCACCTCTTGATCAGAAATATTGGCACTTTTATTTAAGCTTTGAAGTACCAGATTTAAAAGAAAAGAAGGACCACTGGATGTTAAAATTATGTCTTCAGTTCTTTTAATCGTAGATCTGCTCTATTTGCCTTTTTATTTTTATTTATTTTTTTATTTAATTATTAGAGAATGAACAACTCCATTGTGTGGCCAACAATGACAAAATGTTACCATAAATGAAATCTATGCTGTGACATATCAGTGTCAGTGCCTCATGACTTTGTGCAATTATTGTGCCACTAGTTTCTGTGTATTTGTGTAGTAATGCTGGGTAGTACTGATGTTTAAATCAATAATTATTTTGTTCGAAGCAAATTAGATGCAAGGTACATTTTTAGACTTCAATATAGCACGTAAAATCTATAAAGCTTAATGTACTTGATTGAATGTGTTTTCCTGCTAGATTCTTCTACTAACACTTCAACATGAGTTTATATTTATTTTTGCCAATAACAGGATTATGGAAGTATCTTTGCCTCATAAATGTGGTCATAGTGGCCAGAGTTTCTAAATATCTTGCCTCTGAGAACTTGACTTGTCAATTACCAAATGAAATGCAGGGTTTTTGTTATGTAACTAATATTTCAGACTTTTGTATTTATTGACAGCACTTGATGACAATGAATAAACGATTTAAAGACTAACTGATATCATACGTGTGCATTGTTTAATTAATGATCCTCCCTTTTCTTGGGCCGGCTAAGATTAGATTGACAACCATGTTGTCAGAACTAGGTTTCCCAGTTGTACCATGCTAGCCATGCCATTTTAGACTTAATGCACATGCTGTTCACTGGATTTGAGATCTTTGTAATGTTGGATGAGCGAAGTTTACTTCAAAGTTCACCAAAATAATTAGCCAACAGAGGGCAGTCAACACTTCACAGAACCCCCTGTCCACCTCTACAGTATGTTAGCAACACCAAGGTCAGGAGTACACAAACTATATAAGTTTATTAGCCTTAGAGAAAATCCTCTCCCAAATGCATAAATTATGCTGGGGAATTTGATTGGCAGTTCCCTAATCTAGTGTTAACTTAGATTTGCATACTGTTCTCAAACGGTTTCGTCAGAGTAAAGGAAAATAAAAGAGTGAGGTTTTTAACGTTTATTAAAAGATATTCCATACAGTTCTATTCATTTCATTAAATGGCACAGATAAACTGCAGTGAGTTAGAAACTCAAGACTTTTTCTGTTTGCATAATGATTCTATAACCCTGAGGGCAGAAAATACTTCTGACATGGATATGGCAAAGACTGCTTCAGCAAAAAGTTCTGTGATGGAAAGTACCACTCTACAAAGCTTAAGATGTATGACCTACGAAATCTTGCTGCTAGTTTCACAAGTTAAAATCCTCTACTATTTCTTCTTTTCCTGCAAATACTTCTTATAAAGATATTTTTAACTGAAGCGGGGCAGCAAACGATTGTTCTCTATGTCTGTATTTAGTACATGGCCAGTCTTGTGTTGCCCACAAATGCTTGCTCAGACCTAACTTTAAAGGGATTGTTCATCCAAAAATGAAAATTCTGCTATTATTTACTCACCCTCATGTTATTACAAACCTGTATGACTTTATACATTCTGTGGAATATAAAAGGTTAAATATTGAAAAATATCTGTGATTGCACTGTTAATTTAAACATGATTGTGGGTGAATTATCACTTTAAGGGAATCAAAACTGTATAGTTAGGAAAACGAAATGTAACTGCATGTCACTGTGCATAGTGAAGCGCACATTAAACTGCCTGGAACACATTATGATCATGAACAATTATAAGTGTTCTTATTTTGGGTGTACGGTATGGTGATGCTCTTCTTTATGAAATTACATTTCAAATGGGCCCATTGACACTTGAATTTGCTTGCTGCTGCTGATATGACCATTATTTGCCTGCTCTGAAAGCATAAAACTTACACAGACATTACTGGAAGGACATTTAGATCACTAATCTAACTTCCATGTAAATCACCCAGCACTTCCTAGATCTTTGAGTGAGTGAAGTGGCCAAGTATGGTGACCCATACTCGGAATTTGTGCTCTGCATTTAACCCATCCAAGTGCACACACCCACCGTGAACACACACCCGGAGCAGTGGCCATATTGCTGTGGTGCCCGGGGAACAGTTGGGGGTTCGGTGCCTTGCTGAAGGGTCTCACCTCAGTCGTGGTATTGAGGGTGGAAGAGAGCGCTGATTATTCACTCCCCACACCGACAATTCCTGCCGGACCTGAGACTCGACCCCGCAACCTTCGGGTTACAAGTCCGACTGCCCCACAGTCGTGGTCTGTAACACTATAGTATGCCTAAAGAGAGACGAGCTGTCAAAAGAAGCAAATTAGTGAGAAAATAATTTTAAGACTGCCTGAAATTAAAGTTAAAATCAGTCAATGTCAGTCTAAACTATTATTCACTTCTTCTGTTGAATGTTAATTTGTTTACAACAAGAAGGTCTATATTACCTGGAGAAAGCTATCTGTTAGAATTAGCATCCTATTCATCTCAATAGTAGTTGCGTGTTTAGTTCAGAGGCCAGTTAGATAAAATACTTAGACTAGTCTTACAAGTTTGTCATTGAATTTTTTTTCTTTAAGATTGGTCATTTTATTTTATAAGTTGGTTACATAAAACTTAAATCGGTCTAATATGAACCCGAAAAATAAAACTCATTACCCTACACTAGTCACACTAGTTCTTAACACAGAGGCTAAGTTTATGCAGCTGGCCCCAGAACACCATCAGAAATAGGTATGTGATTGGAATTCTGCCATATTTACAGACCTGGACACAACTCTTTCACTTGACCCGTGAACGATATGTGATTAATTCTGGAATCACATCCTGACAAAGATGATTAGCTGAAGACACCACAAGATCACTCACAGTCCCAAGCCACTTAAAAATAACTTAAAAAGTAGCCAGACTGAGTGCGGGTTTGGTGTGTGATTAGGTTAAATTCTGTTTGAAGTTGTTCCGATAAGTAGCAACAATGGTAAAACATCTTTATATAATAAAAAAGGAGAATAAAGTACACCTGTAATCAAGTGAAGTATGGAAGGTCTATTTTAATAATTCAATAAATGTAATTTTACAAGCATACAGTCTAGTCTTTGAGTGTCTGACCTTCATCTAAATGAGTGGACAGCACCCATGTCCAGTGTTTTCTTTAGTATACCATTTAGCCTAAGTCAACCCATAAAAGAATCGGGAAATAATGTGTTAGGCAAATGGTGAACTGTGACGATTTAATGAGACCCATAATTGATCATTTACATCAAGCTGAATGGAAAAATGAATAATTTACATATTAATAGCTTTAAGGACAATCATAAAGCTTTATCGAAAAGTCTGTGCCTGCAATTTACATAAACATTAGGTTTAGAAAAACCTATTTGTATTGGGAATCCTATGTTAACTTTCTGCTGGCTAATTGGAAGAAATAAAGCATAGTTTTATGTGAGATCAACTCACATAGTTCAATAAGAGTCCAATAAAAATATTAAATACTAAAATAATCCAGTGGCCTTCAGTATACAACAGTTTGTTGCATTGTACTATTTGCTTGGCGGAGACCCTTTAATCGCCTGCTTCTTTACTTGTGCTGGACAGGAAATCCCAGAAGAACAACAACTATACTTTGTTAGGGACGCAGAACGTTTCCTGGAAACGTTTGGCTGGTCTGACTGCCCGATCTTAGGTGCAGTCAGCTGGACCTGTGGCAGTTTTAAGGGAGAGGTGGGACCATTTGGTGTAGGCACTGTGCAAGGGGGTCTCTGGAGAATTTGTGTTGACCTAACTGGAGCAACTCTTCCTGGGGACAGTTTTTCAGGAGATGGAGGTGATGTAACGCTAGGCTTATTCTGCCCCAGTGGTTTTCCAAGTGGGTGTCTATGCATGCCAGCTTTAGGAGCTCGAAGCCCAAATGAGCGATTGCTAGTGTCTGCTTTGCTGATGGGCAACTTAGTTAACCCTCCTCTAGCTTGAATAGGAATTCTGGATGATGCTTGACGTGGTTGCTAGGATGAAAAACAGAACATTAATTAATTATATTTTTCTTAATCCAGTTCTCCAAATTGTTTTCAAACTAGTTAGTACTTGGTAGTACAGTAAGATATTCTTACCTTCCTAACCAGACACTCCAGCTTGGGTTTTGCCTCTGGCAGGTTCTTGTTCATCTGATTTGTACAAATATGTTCCCCTTCTTGTTTCTCATCAGTCAGAGCTGTCGGGTGACATGTTTCCTTTCTATGCCTACTGTAAACATCATGACCCAGCTTATTCTCTTTAGATTTTCTATCATTTATAGTCTTTGGTTCTATAGGCTTAGTTTTGCTCATCTTTGTTTCTTTGCTCAGTGCAGCTCTTGGTCTTACGGGATCAGAATTGTTCAACTCTGTCTCTTGGAAGTCAGAATCCTCTAATATCAGCAGCTCAATGGTTTCAAACTGTTCAGGCAGTTTCTCTTGAGGATTGTGCTCCTCAGATTTTCTCTTTAGCACTGCTGGACTGACCTCATCGTTCTGCAGTTTTAAATGCTCATTCACATGCTCTTCAGATTTCAGGTTGAGTGGATGATCTGATCCAGAATCTAAATCAGTCAATGGGTTTTGCAGTTCCTCACTCTTAGGCAACTCTATGGACTTTGTTACCTTGGTCTTCTCTGGAATTACAGGAGTTACATCAGTTTTATCTTGCAGTACTGAGCTCCTAAATTCACTGTCTGTTGCCAACTGTGGGATAGCATTTACTTCTGAAGCTTTGACCATTAAATCTGGACTTTCCCCAGACTGTGAGTCCTGTAGTGGCGGTTGAAGTCTCTGAGTAATAGTCTCAGCTAACTGAATAGATTGTCCCTTACATATTGAATCTAGACTTACCTCAGGTTGTATGTCCTGCAGTGGTGGTTTTGCAGTTTTCTCAGCTAACTTTGCAGATTGTCCCTCACACTTTACATCTTGACTTACTTGAGACTCTAAGTCCTGTAGTTGTGGTTCTGAATCTTTCTCAGCTAACAGTACAGACTTTTCCTCACATAATACATCCAGACTTTCATCAAGTTGTATGTCCTGTAGTGGTTCTTTTTTAGGTTGCTCAGATGCTAAATCTGGACTTACCTT